AGAACATTTTATATAGACTGCCAAACACTGCAATATACAAGAGTAAATAAAATTGTGTGTCTGTTTTTTATACTTTTAGGCAAGAACAGTAGTCGTTGCGGCAGCAGAACCAGAAGTTTATCTCAGAGAGCTGGATGGCTCCTCTGTTGCCTCTCTCAGTGCTGATCAGTCCGGTCTGGGTCTGCTGCAGGCTATGTTGGGTCAGGTGGAGGCAGACTTGGATACTCTGAGTCCCAGCTTTGAAGCAGCTTCAGCACAGAGTCAAAAACAGAGCAGAACACAGGGGCTCACAGGATTCTCTGTGTTGTTGGTCTCCACTCTGGGACGTTTAGTGCACCTCTTCAAACAGGTAATTTAAATGAGTACATGTTGGTGGCAGTGTAATATACAGTTCAATTCAATTCAATTGTTTTTGCATGTGTAACCCCTTTAATATAGATCACATGCACTGTGATGTGGAACCTGTGTCCCTATTCATGTACTATTTCAGCTAAGTATTGCATTGATCTTTGAAACTGCTGGATGATCATTCATTTGAATGACTACTGTTGATCCAAACTGTCCTCAGAGGGAAGAGAAGGCTCAGGAAGAAGCTCAAGAGAGAAGAGGACTAGAGGAGGCGTTAAGAGAGCAGCGTGGGCTGATTGATGCTCTCACTGCTGAGACGATGACTCTGAGAGAAGAGGCAGCAACCCTGCAGGTGAAACACAGTACACCAGATGACTCTACTTTCTTGTCCAAATTCAAACTGGGCTAATAATCAGTTTGTGTTTGGTTCCTCTCAGGCAGGGTTGCTGCAACGGACAGCAGAGCTGGAGCAGAAGTTGGACACAGTGTTGTTGGTGATTGGTGGACTAGGCCTACTGGAGGCTCACATGGACCCACCCCAAGACTCCAGGGTCAAAGCTTCAGGTTCACACTGTTTCTTTGTGTGATTGTTTGTGTATAAACATTTTCGAGTAAATAGCCAATAACTTGTTTTTGCCCTCAACAGCTCTCCAGTCTGCACCAGTTGCTGAGCAGCATCGTGAACGATTACAGTCGCCTGTTTCTCCTGCTGTGTTGCTCTCCCCCCCTCAACAGATAGACAACTGGCAACAATTTCCTGGTAACTGCCTTTGACATGTTGCACCAGCTATGTATAAGTTCTGTCTTAAGTTAGGGTGAAAAGTCCTAGGATTCATAAAGTTGTTTGAATTGAATTGATTACATCCTTAATCTACAACCATTTAAAAAAAAAAAAAAAAAAAATTCTGTCCTGAATCAGAAATTATGTTCAAACTAGGCTACATTTGCACTTGCGCATAGCTAGTGCAACACAATGCTTGTCCTTTTATAGATACTAGCGGATTTAGGTCTTGTGCCTTATACCCTTTTTTTCATTGACTCATTCAGTACGGCTGCACCAGAAGATTCCTCCTTTAGACACCCTGCGTTCCTGTGAGGACCTCCAGGTCCACAGCTCATCCTCCAGTCTCGCAAGCCTTCCTCTCCCCAGCCTTCCCTCTACTACTTCATTAACAACCACTGATGCTCTCAACTCACGCCTCTCTCCAGAGGCAATTCTCGCAGAGATCACTCTGCTTAGTGAACAGAACAACTTGATCAAGGCCCAGCTTAGCCAGGCTAAGAGCCTCGGTTCAGGGGTCGGAAGATCCCTGAGAGCAGCAGTGACACTGGAAGTGTTAGGGAGAGGAGGATCTCAGTTTCCAGCAGCACAGGAAGAGGGAGTCGGCATGTCCAGGCTGCTGATGTGGAGCAGCTAATTACTCAGGTAACCTCCCCACGTGAGCTCTGATGGTAGCTTCCCATTTTATCAAGAATTTTTCTGTCATAATTAGAATTGTTGTGAGGAACTTCCGCTTTGTGTCTGATATTGGTGCCCCCGTGGAAATAGGTGACTAAGAGGCATCAGTATGAGTTTAAGTCTGTTTAATAAGCAGTTAGAAACTCCTCACAGGAGCTTTACATTTTCCTCATGCACTTGAAACATAAAACTTCCTTTTATCTTTGAAATGTGTCAAAAATATTTTCTAGACAAAAAGTCAGTGTGAGTTCAGACAGCAGTGACCAATTTGGCCTTTGGTCTTTCTAGTATAGATAATTAAATGCAGTTAAAACGTGAGATTTGGAGAGAGTGGTGAATAAAATAACTTCTGCCCGAGTAAATTTTAAAACATGAACTTTTTTTAGACAACATCACCAAGCTCCCCTTCTGCAAGCAGTGTGGAACAGCGCCTCCTGGAGCTGAACAGACAAAGTGCAGCAGCGAGGGGTCGCCTGCTAGAGCTCATCGATCAACAGAAACAAAGTGTTTCATCTAAAGTTTCATCCTCTGGTTCCCCCATTCCCCGTTCTGCCATCAGTCCACATTCAGCAGGTATGTTCAGTCTGTCTGATTAATTTATTTCCTTTCACTGTAAAATAAACAACAACATTGTATCACATTGTTCTCAGCTGAACGAGTGGGAAGTCCAGAGGAATCCATGCTGTTGACTGCACAGGAGCTCCTGTCCCAGACTAGTGGTGTGGGTAGACGGTAAGTTGCTCTCTCAGATGAGAGTGGCGTTCCTTGACATGACACTTATTTCCCATAATGCATTGTGGATTTTGATCATAAGCAGCACAATATTTAACAACCTTGGTTTCTTATAAAACAATTCACAATTAACAATTAATCGGATTTCACCTTTTTTAGATAAAGAATGTATTGACATAATTATTTCAGATCCAGTCAGGACAATACTGACTGTTACACTAACATAAAAACATGCCATAATAATTGTATTATGTTATCATTTATGTAATTCAGATCTGCTGGCTCTGAAGGGTTATCTTACAGTCCTGGAGGAGATACAAGAGACGACAAAGCAGAAGTAAGCAAACGCATAAAGAAATGATTTAATGGAAGTTTAAAGGTTTCAGCAAACTTTTACCACCTTTCTTACATCTAAATACATCTTGATTTTCAGATGGAGAAACGGAGAGAGCGAGAGGGCTGGTTTGCCTTGTCTGCTCATGTTAGATGATAAGGACTCATTATTTATGTATCACAATAAAAAATAAATCGTCCATTTGCGTTCACACATGTTGCTCACCTGAAAAATGTCCTAAATTTCAGGAGTTTTCTGCATGTGTGAAGCATGAAGTCATTTGTTCATACATAATTAAATACAATCTGGATTTATTATAGAAGTTTTTTATTATATTATGTTACAAATGTGATTACCTAGATTGATTTGAATGTCTGAACATCCTGTCAGCACATGCAGTGTACACCATTTTAATGCATAAACATTTGTTTTAGATCAAAGTTTTTAGCTTGTTATTAAACAGATATGAGTTAATATTGATGCCTATTCATGAGATACAAAAGCAAAAAAGACTATCAGGTTAAAAAATGATCATTTATATATAGTTATTCTTAATGTCTGAATCCACTGCCTTGAACTAGGTTTTCTAAAATAATTAGCAGCACACTTAAAGTTTGATACTGAAGTTCTGTTTGATGGGGACTTTAGAAAACAGCCTTTTGTTAACGTTCTATGTTAAATACCAAGTAGCCTCTGATTTTAATCATCCAATTTTGACACTCATTTAAATGCATTTGTTTAAAGATTTTTATTTTACTTTTTGTGCCTTTAATGCAGAGATAGGACAGTGGATTGAGTCGGAAACCAGGGAGAGAGAGTGGGGAATGACATGCGGAAAGAGGCCACGGGTGGAAGCGAACCTGGGCCTACCGCTCGAGACGAGAGCCTCAACACATGGGATGCGCGCCCTAACCACTGCGCCCCTTAAATGCATTTGTACATCTATTATCTATACTTTTTAACCAACACAAGCTGATCTCGTCTTCAACAACATTCACATTCATACATATTGACCTAATGTGCGTGGTTCTGTGAAAAGATAAATCACAAGCTGCTTCCTGTGACGTGGCGGTGCTTCTGCTCCACCATTCTGCCCTCACATTAACAGATACAAATAAGGACTATGTTCAATGCCCTATTTTAGAATGGTCGCCCTATGTTGTTTACGTTGAGGAAGGGCTCCATCAGGGTGGAGGTAAAGTCAGACGTTTCGGAGTGAGGGTTTGAATTACAGTTAGCTTCTATTCCCCTGGACAGGAAACCCATTGCAATAAGCACACCTGCAGAGGCAGTACCAACGTACATACCTGCTTTCAGTACACCTTTACTACAGCGACTCAACAAACTTGTAGTATGATTCTCATCAGCAGGAGTCTCCTGAGGTAAACCAAGTCTACCCTCTTCAGCTTTCCTCCATAACTCTGCTAAATTCTCCTCCTCCTGTCTCGTTTCAGATTGTTGTTTAAGGTTGTGGAAACGTTTTTTTAAATCTGAGTGGTAACACTCTGTCGTTTGCTGCTTAAAATTAATTGCCCTTTGTTGATGTTCAACTAGTCTTTTTGACTCCCTGATTGACTTCTCAGCATCCTTCAGTTGGGACTGATGTTCCTGTAAAGCCGACTTCAAATGTTCAATTTCATCTTTCTGTCCATTGGCCAGTGACTCAAGTTGTTCCCGGTCATTTTCAAGGATATCATTGTTGTCATTAAGAAGCTCTATTTCTTTCCGGAGATCAGACAATGCCTCCTTCAGATTTTGTATCTTTGTCTGATTTTTTTCATTCAAAGATTCTGCACAGTCCAGATTTTGCATCATCTCGTCATAATCCCTGTGAACTGCCTGCGCGACTTTTAGTTGACCCTCAAGAGAATTAACCTGTTCATTAAGAAGTTCAAGCTCTTCCTTCATACTTTGATTCTCCTCACTTAAAAATAACTTTGCCTCTTCTAGAGTTTTTATAGAAGTGTCTCTTTTCTCCAAGGTCATCTCAGTATTTTTCCTGTTGACTTCCTGTGCTTCTCTTAGTTGACACTGGAGTTCTTGCACTTCTATCCTAAGATTTTCATGAATAGAGTCACAGTGTTTAAGCTCATCAATCACACGATAATTCTCCTCAATTAAAGCAATCTTCTCCTGTTCCTGATTTTTTATGAAGGTGTCTCTTACCTCCAAAGTCATCAGGTCATTATTCCTGTTGACTTCCTGTGCTTCTCGCAGTTGATCCTCAAGTGAATGAACCTGTTCATTGAGTCCTTCAAGCTCTTCCTTCATACATTTACCCTCCTCACTTAAAAGTAACTTCTCCTCTTCTAGAGTTTTTATGGAAGTTTCTCTTTCCTCCAAGGTCATTTCATTTTTTCTATAGACTTCCTGAGCATCTTCTAGTATACACTTGAAGTCCTGCATCTGTTTTCTAATATTATCATGAATAGATTCATGGTGTTTTAGCTCATCGTTCATACATTTTTTCTCCTCAATGAAAGCTAACTTTTCCTGTTCCTGATTTCTTATAAAGGTGTCTCTTACCTTCAAACTCATCAGGTCATTATTCCTGTTGACTTCCTGTGCTTCTCGCAGTTGATCCTCAAGTGAATGAACCTGTTCATTGAGTCCTTCAAGCTCTTCCTTCATACATTTACCCTCCTCACTTAAAAATAACTTCTCTTCTAGAGTTTTTATGGAAGTTTCTCTTTCCTCCAAGGTCATTTCATTTTTTCTATAGACTTCCTGAGCTTCTCCTAGCATACACTTGAGTTCCTGCACTTCTTTAGTAAGACTTTCATTAATAGATTCATGGTGTTTAAGCTCATCGTTCATACATTTTTTCTCCTCAATGAAAGCTAACTTTTCCTGTTCCTGATTTCTTATAAAGGTGTCTCTTACCTTCAAACTCATCAGGTCATTATTCCTGTTGACTTCCTGTGCTTCTCGCAGTTGATCCTCAAGTGAATGAACCTGTTCATTGAGTCCTTCACGCTCTTCCTTCATACATTTACCCTCCTCACTTAAAAATAACTTCTCCTCTTCTAGAGTTTTTATGGAAGTTTCTCTTTCCTCCAAGGTCATTTCATTTTTTCTATAGACTTCCTGAGCTTCTCCTAGCATACACTTGAGTTCCTGCACTTCTTTACTAAGACTTTCATTAATAGATTCATGGTGTTTAAGCTCATCGCTCATACATTTTTTCTCCTCAATGAAAGCTAACTTTTCCTGTTCCTGATTTCTTATAAAGGTGTCTTTTTCCTCCAAACTCATCAGGTCATTATTCCTGTTGACTTCCTGTGCTTCTCGCAGTTGATCCTCAAGTGAATGAACCTGTTCATTGAGTCCTTCAAGCTCTTCCTTCATACATTTACCCTCCTCACTTAAAAGTAACTTCTCCTCTTCTAGAGTTTTTATGGAAGTTTCTCTTTCCTCCAAGGTCATTTCATTTTTTCTATAGACTTCCTGAGCATCTTCTAGTATACACTTGAGTTCCTGCACTTCTTTAGTAAGACTTTCATTAATAGATTCATGGTGTTTAAGCTCATCGTTCATACATTTTTTCTCCTCAATGAAAGCTAACTTTTCCTGTTCCTGATTTCTTATAAAGGTGTCTTTTTCCTCCAAACTCATCAGGTCATTATTCCTGTTGACTTCCTGTGCTTCTCGCAGTTGATCCTCAAGTGAATGAACCTGTTCATTGAGTCCTTCAAGCTCTTCCTTCATACATTTACCCTCCTCACTTAAAAGTAACTTCTCCTCTTCTAGAGTTTTTATGGAAGTTTCTCTTTCCTCCAAGGTCATTTCATTTTTTCTATAGACTTCCTGAGCATCTTCTAGTATACACTTGAGTTCCTGCACTTCTTTAGTAAGACTTTCATTAATAGATTCATGGTGTTTAAGCTCATCGTTCATACATTTTTTCTCCTCAATGAAAGCTAACTTTTCCTGTTCCTGATTTCTTATAAAGGTGTCTTTTTCCTCCAAACTCATCAGGTCATTATTCCTGTTGACTTCCTGTGCTTCTCGCAGTTGATCCTCAAGTGAATGAACCTGTTCATTGAGTCCTTCAAGCTCTTCCTTCATACATTTACCCTCCTCACTTAAAAGTAACTTCTCCTCTTCTAGAGTTTTTATGGAAGTTTCTCTTTCCTCCAAGGTCATTTCATTTTTTCTATAGACTTCCTGAGCATCTTCTAGTATACACTTGAGTTCCTGCACTTCTTTAGTAAGACTTTCATTAATAGATTCATGGTGTTTTAGCTCATCGTTCATACATTTTTTCTCCTCAATGAAAGCTAACCTTTCCTGTTCCTGATTTCTTATAAAGGTGTCTTTTTCCTCCAGAGTCAGCTCATTAGTCCTATAGACTTCTTGCACTTTTTGTAGATGACGCTTGAGACTTTGAATGATAGATACATGATTTGAAATCTCATCAGTCATATCTTCATTCTCCTCAGTTAAAGCAAACTTCTCCTCTTCCAGACTTCTTATGTAAGTGTCTCTTTCCTCCAAGGTCATTTCATTTTTTCTATAGACTTCCTGAGCTTCTCCTAGCATACACTTGAGTTCCTGCACTTCTTTACTAAGACTTTCATTAATAGATTCATGGTGTTTTAGCTCATCGTTCATACATTTTTTCTCCTCAATAAAAGCTAACTTTTCCTGTTCCTGATTGCTTATAAAGGTGTCTCTTACCTCCAAACTCATCAGGTCATTATTCCTGTTGACTTCCTGTGCTTCTCGCAGTTGATCCTCAAGTGAATGAACCTGTTCATTGAGTCCTTCAAGCTCTTCCTTCATACATTTACCCTCCTCACTTAAAAATAACTTATCCTCTTCTAGAGTTTTTATGGAAGTTTCTCTTTCCTCCAAGGTCATTTCATTTTTTCTATAGACTTCCTTAGCTTCTCCTAGCATACACTTGAGTTCCTGCACTTCTTTAGTAAGACTTTCATTAATAGATTCATGGTGTTTAAGCTCATCGTTCATACATTTTTTCTCCTCAATGAAAGCTAACTTTTCCTGTTCCTGATTTCTTATAAAGGTGTCTTTTTCCTCCAAACTCATCAGGTCATTATTCCTGTTGACTTCCTGTGCTTCTCGCAGTTGATCCTCAAGTGAATGAACCTGTTCATTGAGTCCTTCAAGCTCTTCCTTCATACAATTACCCTCCTCACTTAAAAATAACTTCTCCTCTTCTAGAGTTTTTATGGAAGTTTCTCTTTCCTCCAAGGTCATTTCATTTTTTCTATAGACTTCCTGAGCTTCTCCTAGCATACACTTGAGTTCCTGCACTTCTTTAGTAAGACTTTCATTAATAGATTCATGGTGTTTTAGCTCATCGTTCATACATTTTTTCTCCTCAATGAAAGCTAACTTTTCCTGTTCCTGATTTCTTATAAAGGTGTCTTTTTCCTCCAGAGTCAGCTCATTAGTCCTATGGACTTCTTGCACTTTTTGTAGATGACGCTTGAGACTTTGAATGATAGATACATGATTTGAAATCTCATCAGTCTTATCTTCATTCTCCTCAGTTAAAGCAAACTTCTCCTCTTCCAGACTTCTTATGTAAGTGTCTCTTTCCTCCAATGTCTTTTTTTCGTCAGACAAAATATTTGCGACCCGGTCCAGTTCTTTCTTTATCTGTGTGGTTGCATAGACTAACTCCTGTAGCCTGGTCTCCTTGTCCACTTCTCGTAGATGACACTTGAGTTCCTGCACTTCCTCCCTAAGACTTTGAATGATAGATCCACGATTTGAAATCTCATCAGTCATATGTTGATTCTCCTGAGTTAAAGCAAACTTCTCCTCTTCCAGACTTCTTATGTAAGTGTCACTTTCCTCCAATGTCTTTTTTGCATCAGACAAAATATTTGCGAGCCGGCCCAGTTCTTTCTTTGTCTGTGTGGTTACATAGACTGACTCCTGTAGCCTGGTCTCCTTGTCCACTTCTCGTAGATGACACTTGAGTTCCTGCACTTCCTCCCTAAGACTTTGAATGATAGATCCATGATTTGAAATCTCATCAGTCATATGTTGATTCTCCTGAGTTAAAGCAAACTTCTCCTCTTCCAGACTTCTTATGTAAGTGTCTCTTTCCGCCAATGTCTTTTTTGCATCAGACAAAATATTTGCGAGCCGGCCCAGTTCTTTCTTTATCTGTGTGGATACATAGACTGACGCCTGGCCACGCCTGGTCAGATTGTCCCTAAGATTTCCTAACTCCAAGTAAAGCCTCTCTATTGTTTGCTGCTTACTACCTATTTCCATTGTTTGCGTTTCTAACAGCTTATTCTTGTTGAAGATAGTCAGCAAAGCGTTCTCAAGTTGGTTCTGAAGACCTTGATTATCTGACCTCAGGTTTTTATAATTATCTTTTTGTGCCTTTGTCAGAGATTCAAATCGATCCCGCTCATTTACAAGGTGCTTATTTTTCTCCATCAGAAATTCTTCATTTGTCTGAAGAACATGCATTTTCTGCTTCAACGTTTGGATCTCTGCCTGACTTGTCTCATCCAAAGATTCCACCTGCTTCAGTTTCTGTGTAATGTCATTATTTCTGTTGACTTCCATCATTAGATTTTGATTCTCCTCACTAACAGTCTTCCTATTGTCCTTAAGACTCTCCAATTCTTCTGTAAGCTGTTGATCCTCTGCTTGGTATTTCTCAAGATGGCTGACTCTGGCCGTTAGATTTTGATTCTCCTTAGTTAGAGTCCTCTCAGTGTCTTTGAGATTCTGCAATTCTCCGGTCAGCCGTTCAGTTTCTGCTTTGTTTGTTTGTTCCGTGATCTCTAATTCTGATTTCAGCCTGTTAAACTCCTCATGGTTTTTTCTTGCTGTGAATGGTAACTTGACACTTGTTCTGTTAGGTTGGCCTCATTGGCCTTTGAATCTTCTAACTTTAACGTTAGTGCCTCTATCTCTGATCGAAATGACTCATCTATCATGTTTGTTTCATTCAGTAAATTACCTAATATTTCTATTCTACCTTTCCATTTTGAGTTTTGCTCACTCATCTTCTGGCACACTCTGAAAAGCTGTTTTCCACGTTTTTTCACTTGTTTTGTAAGGTTAGTCTCCATGGCCCTTGCTTCTTCTAACTCCAACTCTAGCGCCATGACCTTTGATTTTATTGACTGCTCCCAGCTCATACACCCTTTCAATACCAAGTTGTATATCACCCAATCATCATAAAACTGATGCTCCTTTAACTGTGACTGAGCTACACGAATGTGATCCTGAAGGCTCTGAGGATCAACAGTTTCTATCAACTCTGGCACTCTGAGCCGAGGTGAATCCTCAAATGTTTGTGAACAAGCTGCGTGAAATTCTTTTTGAGACATTTTTGCTTAGGATTGAATTTGTTCAGAGTTAATTTAGAAGCATATAAATGTAGCGATTAAAATTGTTATATCAAGTAGCTGTGTTACCTCTCTCCTTTGCAGATTGATCTGTGTTTGCTCGCATCCAAATGCTTTGACCCCGTAAGGTAATTTGAAACGGCTTTATAAACGATCCAGAGATCAAAGGCATCCAACGCTCCTGTGACGTCATGATATTGCACGCGTCATAGAATGTTTACATTTTTTAAACAGTGAAGCTGCCATGGTCACGTGTGCTATACACGTGACTGTTCAGCGCTATGCTTCATTCAAAAGAAAACAAATAAGTGATTAATCAGCCATTTTTCTGAATATGAAAAAAAAAATGCTGGGAAACTGACCTTACACCTATGCTTACACACGTTAGTCCGACATGTGACGTGACATGGTTTAAGCTGTCTAAAACATACTTCTAAACCTATAACAAGTTAAATTGCGATATGATATCAGAAAGCATGCGTTGAATCTTTATCATTCATAATAGGGTCAGTGTTAGAGCCATTTGTGTGTCCAGTATGTATATCACTTATTTTACCTCATTTCTTGAGACATTTTTTGCTTAGGATTGAATTTGCTCAGAGTTAATTTAGAAGCAAATTCATTTAGCTATTAAAACGTGTTATATCAAGTACTGTAGCTGTGTTACTTCTCTCCTTTGCAGATTGAGCTGTGTTTTTTCTAAACTTTCCTCACATGCAAGTCCCTGTAAAGTGAAATCAGAAATACGTCTCCAAGCACGCTAAATATGTTGCAAGAAGATAGCTTTAAACATGTGAAAAGACTGACAACTATGTTTGATTGATTTCCGATTTTTGACCGTTTTTACGGTTTTCTTCAAGTTTCAGTTCTAG